TAGAAAACCGGTTTGTAAGGTGAATGGTGTCACTCTATTATAAATCCTATTAGGCTTTATCTTTATGATATGCGAGAAGAGTTTTTCCAATGCACTTCCTCACACCTAACACTGTTGGATTTAGTGTGTTGATATAACCGATAGGTGGCCCAAACGATAGGCTTTATCTTTATGAATGCCCTTTATTACTTGGTTAACAAGAATATTCTTTCTAATTTACTTAATAACAAATCATTTTTTCCAAAATCAATTTTTTCATCCTTCATTTAGAACTATAAAATAATTTTTTTCTTTATTTTTTACAAATTTAAACGTTGAAAGTCTTTGTTTCATTTAGAGCTATAAAATAATTTTTTTCTTTATTCTTTACAAATTTAAATGTTGAAAGTCTTTGTTTCATTTAGAGCTATAAAATAATTTTTTTCTTTATTCTTTACAAATTTAAATGTTGAAAGTCTTTGTTGTGAGATGTATCAACTTGCTAAACGCAAGCGTGTCTCTTTTCGGGTTAGAGATAAAATTAGTACTTCTCCATTTTATTTAATTCAGACGCGTGGGGTCTATCAGAGGTTCCAAACATATTAGGTGTCCGTTGGTTTGTAGTCTTTGTTGATGATTGTACTTGGGTTACTTGGGTCTACTCGTTACAACAAAAATCAGAAGCCAGTTCTATGTTTTTTCACTTCTTCTCATTGGTTAAAAATCAGTTTAGTGTGAGTATTAAGAGAATTAAGTCTGATAATGTCAAAGGTTACTTTAATCACGGTCTCGATTCTTGTGAAAAAGAAGGCATCATTCATGAGTCTTCTTGTTAGTTTTTTGCTCGGTGTTGTCTGGGTTCTTCGGTGGTTCTGCATTTGCCACTGTTTGTGAGCATCAGTTTGCACATATTTATGTTTTATGTGCCTCGCATTTGGTAAAAATCAATGCATATTTTGTTTTGATCGAGTGCTTGTATTCATTTCTTTTGGTTACTACTAATGTAATTAGTACACTTGTTATTTTCATAATCTTTTGATAGTTTGTACGTATTTTTTGAAGTGTAAAATCTAAAGCATTTTTTTTTTGTATATATGCTGTTCATAACTCATGCCCCTATATATGCTCTTCATAACTCATGCCCGTTAATAGATTTTTCCACATAATTCAAACATGTTTTTTTCGAAAATTTTATAAACATATCTTGGGCTGTGTAAGATGGATTTTAATGCTCAAATTCAATGCTGGAATCATTAGATGTTCCCCCCTTCTCAAAGTGGAGGCCAAAATCAGCAGAATATGGATATGCACATGCATTGTATCCTTGTGGCAGCCAGTAATCCTTACCCGTTGCAGACACCAGTATATGTTCCGCAACTGCAGAGCGTAGAGAAGAGTGAATCTATTGACTCAGATCCAGGGAACCAGTTATATGATGCTGAAGCTGTTGCTAAAGCGTTTCCGCAGGTACTTTGCTTTATTTATTTTACTTGTATGGCACTCTATCTCCATATGCTGTAAGACTCTATCTATTCCACTTTATTAATGAAATGTGATACTCTGTATACAGTTTTCTATTTCTCTATCGATCATCTGCCCAAAACAACTTCCCAAAGTTAAAGCCATTTACAATGCGGTATGGATGACTTATCACTCTTGTACTAAAATTATAATATGTATTTATTTGTTTATTTTGAAAGATATGGGTAAACTGGGTTCCTGGTACTATACATGAGAACGGTACACTCCCAAGCTCACATTTGCTGGAATAGTTTTGTATTTTTTGAAACATAAACACTAATATTTTCAAGATCACTGAAAATATTCTAATATTTTAAAAGCTATGCTAAAAATATTGCAAGTTATTTTATGGCTATTATTAAAAAAAGTAACTTTTTTTTCCTGCTATTGAATAATTTTGTTATATTGATAATATCCTTTTGACACTGTAGGGAAAACGAAATAATAGAGCTGCTGATCCACCAGTTGATGCTAAGACCACTCATTTCCTTGTTTTAGTATCAGAAGGTTTCAGGGAAGCCCGTGGTGCCTTGAGTCGTTCTGGAGCAAACTTGCCTTCAAATCAAAGTCCTGTAAAAGTAGATTCTGCATCTACAATACCAGTTACGGGGGCACCCCCAACTACATTACCATCAGGTTGTCTATGCATGCGGTATTTACATCCTTTATTTGAGACTAATATAAAGTAGGGGGCATGCACTTCAAAAAATGAGTTCCCATGCTTTGTTTATATTTCTAATGTTTTTCCTTTTGCATAATTTTGAACACCAACTCCTTAGCACTTTTAGCTGGAATTTTGTTCAGAAGATTTAGGGCTCGTTTGTTTTGGCTTTTTTTAAAAATGATTTTTATAGTGTAACATAATTTTGTGTAAAAAAAAATTACGAACTTTTCATAAGAGTTTCAATTGAAAATTTGGTTTGAATAGTTATTCTTAAAATGTTATTTTAGGTATTTCATCTTTTTATTAAAACTTTTTTTGGATATCAAAATTTCAAAAAATTACTTAATTTTGAAGCTATTTCAAAAATAGATTTTCATAAAAATCATTTTTGAAAAATAACTTTTTGAAAAAATTGCAATTTTTGACTATGTTTTGGTCTTCAATAATGTATGTTTATGTTATAGGATGTCAAAATTACTATTTCGATTTAGAAAAAATAAATATAAAAAAACTTGTAATATTTTGAAAAACGGTTTTGTAAAATCTATTTTCAAAAATACAAAGAAAATATCTATTTTTTTTAAAGCTGAAACAAACAAGCCCTTATTCTTAAGGTGTAAGGATTAATATATATTTGATTATGTTTATGGTTTTACAACCAAAGAAAAAAGAATAGGACTCATTCTTGTCATTATGGATATCACTGTTTTCTGTATTTAGCTGAAAAGGTTAGTAAGAAAATTCATGGCAGGTAGTTTGCTTTAATTAGAACTCTAGTTTGTCATGCTTGGTCATCAGTTTATTCGTCGTGCCTTATTTATTCTTTTGGCATGTTGGTTTAAAAGTAGTTTTAGTTTAACAAGTTTACTGTGATTTTTTAGTGAATGGATCTATCACAAACCGGCAATCAATACCTGCTGGGACTGTAACTCCTGCTACTGTTAAAGTGGTAAACTTACATCTAGATAAAAGATTTAACTTTCATCTAAACTAAGCTCTTTAATTCGGTGATTATAGTTCAATTTTTTTTTAAAACGATCTTGAATTTATATGATAATTCTTCAGGAGCCAGTTCCCGTAACTTCCATGGTAACTGGGTCAGGTTTTCATCATAATTCGTCAGTTGCACGTCCTACTAGTACTGGTCAAGGAGTTCCAAGCTTGCAGACGTCTTCTCCGTCTTCTGTTTCTCAAGATATTATGACGAGTAATGAAAATGCACAGGATACAAAGCCAATAGTGTCAATGTTGCAGCCACGTCCTGTGAATCAAGCTCAAGCAAATGTGAACATTTTGAATAATCTCTCTCAAGCACGACAGGTAATGAACTCTGCTGCTTTAAGTGGCGGAACTTCAATGGGACTTCCATCAATGGGTCAGACTCCTGTTGCCATTCACATGTCAAACATGATATCCAGTGGGACGACATCTTCTGGACCTACAAGTCAAAATGTATTTTCATCTGGACCGCCAGTAATAACTAGTTCTGGATCTCTTACTGCTTCTGCACAGGTCGGACAAAACTCAGGTCTTGCTTCATTACCATCAGCCACTTCTAATTTGTCTTCAAGTCCAAACAATGGGATTTCACAACCATCAACTAATAATCTTCAAGGAGCGGTTAGTATGGGACAACAGGTTTCCGGTATGAACCCAGGAAACCTTTCAGGGGCCCAAATGGCGCAAGGCGGAGTTAACATGAACCAAAATGTAATGAATGGCCTTGGTCAATCAGGTGTCTCTTCTGGAGCTGGCGCAATGATCCCTACTCCAGGAATGAGTCAACAAGTACAATCAGGCATGCAGGCGCCTCCAAATAATGCTGCTACTGCTAATATGCCTTTGTCACAACAGACAGCTTCTGCACAATCCAAATATATAAGGGTCTGGGAGGTATGTCCACTTCCTCCATTGTATATGGGAGTATATCAGATGCTTAGAACTTCCGTCTTTATGCTATGAATATCTAGACCTTATATAGTGTGCCACATTTTTTAGTGCATTATTCATTATTCAATTTCAACACTCATAACTTGGTTGATTTGTTTGCTAAGTTCATTTTGCGTCATGGAGAAGTATAATGGTGGTTCTGTCTTTGAATGCAGATCCTTTCAATAATTCCTTTTAAAAATAAAATAAATGTCAACAATTTATAAAAAGCATATAAGTAACATAACAGATATAGTACTACTCACAATAATACACAACAACATGTAAGCCTTATCCTACTAGATGGGGTCGATTTCATGGATCAACTTTCGCCATAATGTTCTATCAAGGAGCATGCTTCTATCCAAATCAATAAATTCTCGAGATCTTTCTTAATAATCTCCCTTTTAGTCTTTCTAGGTCTTTTTTGAATTGTTTGTCTTCTCTCCATCAGGTCTATTCTCCTTACTACAAAATCTACAAGTCTTCTCTCTACATGTCCAAACTACTTAAGTCTATTTTCCACCATCTTCTCTACTATAGGCGCTACCCGACACCCTAATATTTTTATTTCTAATTTTATCATGCTGAGCTTACCACACATTCACCACAACATCCTCATCTCTGCCACACTTTATTTTCGTGTTGATTCTTAATCGCTCAATATTCTGTCCCGTACAAAATCACAAATCTTACAACAATATGTTTTGCATATTCTTTTAACCCTTATCATGCATAAGGAAAGTTTGCTATCGACATAATACGCTAACTCAGTCACTCCCTGAAGCTGGAGCATACATACTGTTATGTGTTTGAATGAGCTAGCACTTCTAGAAGCTTTTCCCATACAAATTCACTATGAACCTCATTATCTGTTCTTGAATATGAAACTGTTTTAGATGCAATGTTGTGACACTATGTTAAGAGTGAATGGCTTAGGAAAGATAACTAGTTAACTACTTATCACATTTACTTTAAATGTGCCTTAATATGTATTAAGAAATGTCTGTAAGTACAACACCCTTAGCTTAGAGTGCAGTAGAAGTAATTCCTATTTCGTTTGTTCTTTTCATTCAATTGGTACATGTAATTTTCAAAGAATGAACCAGTGGGGCTAGAGTAGTGGCAATTTATGGAATTTATTAGCACGCTTGTACATTAGATCTATTGTTCGATAATTGAAATTCATGCAGGGAAGCTTATCAGGACAAAGGCAAGGACAGCCAGTATTTATCACCAAACTCGAAGTATGTTCCCAACTGCGAGATTTTATATATATTTCAGTTATGCTTTTTTCATTTTTCAAGCCTACTATCATTTCCCTGGAAAGTTATTTGACGTGTATTCCTGATGCATCCATTTCTCTGTGGCAGGGTTACAGGAGTTCTTCTGCCTCTGAGACGTAAGTTTCAGATGTTGTATTAACTTTTCTCAAAAGACTAGATTATGTTGTAGTTGAAGTTTATAATACTATTGCTGCAAAATTATTATTAATTTGGTATTGGATTTTGGTCTTTAAACTTTAGAGTCATAAACTATATTTGCTATGATATTTTTATAGATAAGTCGTATTTTCTTAACATGGTTTGCTCAGGAAAATTTTCATAGTACTGTTTATCTTTGATTGATAATTAATTTATGCTAAGATATTTTTTAATATATAAATAAAAAATTATAAGGCGGATTTCAACAGGGAACAAGTTATCTTCCAAAAGAAACCACAATGAAGAAAATAAATTTCAAACCCCTATATGAACCGAAGAAGCAATCTCAGAAATTTATTGCCGAGGATACATATGATTAGACTTAAGCTTCAAATAGTGATTTTCCCATTGTGCAAAAATGATTTGTTTTTCTTAAGCGATTCTATGTTTAGAACAACCTATTTTTGTTTGGTTACAAAATAAAACCAGTTTGTTTTTTCAAGAGAGAAATATTAGACAATAAGTCAATAATGTGTCTCATTGCTTAATTTTTCGTTTGAGTTTATTGTTACTTCTACTCTCCACTTTATGCTCGGCATGTCATTCATCTGGGACACAGCAAAATCCTTGCTTTCATTGTAAGATCATTTTGTATTGCCTGAATGGAAGCGATAATAATTCAGTTGGAAAAGAAAAATATTTTTGCCTGGAAATGATTTAGCGGTGTTCAGTGTTGTCATGGCATGGCAGATTTTGTGTCAGGTGCTATAGAGCACAACAGGTGCTATAACAGGTGCTATAGAACACAACATCTGTTATACCTGCAATGCCATCCATCATTGATAACACTGGTGGTGTAAGTGCATGTCATTCCTGACTGAAATTGAATAATCAATAAGATCATTCTCAATACTAAAGGTCACCAAATACTTCTGCAACGCCCCGCTTTTCATTCAAATTATTCAACATAAATTGCTTATTGTTATGGAATCATTTGATTTAAGAAATTATAAGAGCATTTACTGCTCACTCAGCATCTCTGAAGATTATTTTCACATAATCTAAATTTAGTACTAAAATTCATCTGCAATAAAGATTAGTAAAAAATTTCAGTTTTATAATTTGCATTTTAAACTAACTTGCTTCAGAACAAAAGAAAATTTCACTCTTAATTGAAGCATCACTTCCTCCAATTTCATTGTATTTGACGGAGTCTATATCGGTTTTTTCTGATTTTGACTTCTTAATCTGACCCAATCATATTATCAGACATTTTATATCCTCTTCTTAATTCCTTCGATTTACTAACATATGTTATACTACTTCTATTGATCTCAGACTTGCAGCAAACTGGCCTCCTGTAATGCAAATTGTTCGGCTTATCTCTCAGGATCACATGAATAACAAGTATGTCCTTATTTAAATTTGTATTTTTTTAACATATATTGGTGTCTTTTGTTCAGTACCTGTGCTAATTTTATATGCTGTGACTAGGCAATATGTTGGAAAGGCAGATTTCCTAGTTTTTCGTGCAATGAATCCTCATGGATTTCTGGGTCAGCTCCAAGAGAAGAAGCTTGTAAGTCATGTGGGAGCTTCTAAATTTTTGTCTTCTTTTCAGTTAAGCCTGTGTCTAATAGTTAGATTATTTTTTCCTAGTAAACGTAAGAATGTCGATCATGGTAGTTAAAATCCCGATTTGAATTGTAAAATCCTATGATTTTACACTTATGCTTTTCCTCAACAATTAAGAATATACACCCAATCCGATTTTGGTGGAATCTCCCTTGTTATCTGTTGAATCGTATAATCTATGATCTTTGAAATGTTTCTACGCTTATGAATGAATATAAATAAATTTATCGAAGTATTTGAAGGGTGATTTAAGGTTTTCTTTGCCTTACTATTACTGATGCTATTTTAGATGCATATATATGAACTTATTTGCACGAGTCTTAGAATTTCTTATAATCTTACTATTAGTGTTAGGATTCCACGAGTCACGATTTTACTTCTGTTTCCCGATTTTGCATGAAATCTCAATTTTAATACTCTTGGTGTCAATGTTTTTTTTTGAATTCTCCCTTGATATCGTCCCCCACTATCCAGTCCCTGAATAATGAAATTTAGGTTTGGTACTAGGAGCATCTCACCGCAACAACTTAATTCCAGTTGATTCTAATAATGAATCTCCATGAGTGATAGAATGTTAATTTCATGATACTCTAGAATTGAGTAACTTGCTTTGGCGTCGGCCGTGTTATGTACTTGTCTACATTATGGCAGTGGACCATTGATTTTATTATTAAGTTCTCTTTAATATATTATTATTTGATTTCAGTGTGCAGTTATTCAATTGCCATCACAGACGTTGCTACTATCTGTTTCTGACAAAGCCTGCCGCCTGATCGGGATGCTTTTTCCCGGGGTAACATATATTTGTTGATTTTTCAATGTCTACTTAAAATCTGTGATGGAATACACCTTTGTTTATTTACTTGAAACCTTGATTGCAAGCAGGATATGGTTGTATTTAAGCCACAATTATCCAGTCAGCAGCAGCAACAAATGCAACAACAACAAATGCAACAACACCAGCAGATGCAATCACAACAGCAGCATCTTCCACAAATGCAGCAGCAGCAGCAGCTTCCTCATATGCAGCAGCAGTTACAACAACAGCAACAACAACTTCCACAACTGCAACAGCAGCAGCAGCTTTCCCAGCTTCAGCAGCAGATTCCACAAATCCAGCAGCAACAGCAGCAACTCCCTCAGCTTCAACAGCAGCAGCTTTCACAACTGCAGCAGCAGCAACAACAGCTTCCGCAATTACAGCAACTGCAGCATCAACAACTTCCTCAGCAGCAGCAACAGATGGTTGGGAACGGAATGGGTCAAACTTATGTTCAAGGTCCTGGACGCTCACAGATGGTTTCTCAGGGACAAGTTTCATCACAAGGAGCTACAAACATTGGTGGGGGGAATTTCATGAGTTAGCTCATTTTCTGATACAGTTTCCCCAAGATAAGATTAACACAACACAAGTCATGTTTTGGGGATTCTATTTGTTTTATTAAACTTATATTTCTAGGTTACCGGCATGCAATCGCAAGTAACTTATGCTCATAATTTATGGGGGTATGGTCGTTCCATTCTTAAGTCATTGAGCCATTAAAAACTGATAGGTTGTATATATTAAGAGCATGCTATAAAGTCATTGGGATTATGGATAGAGTTTTGCTGCATAATCCAAGTCACAATTTTTTGATGCCATTCCCTTGAGGTTGGGCAATGAAATGTATATTGCTGTTATCTAAAGTTGATGTATCGCCGGACATCATAAAACTCAATAAGGATGTGAGAATTGGATATAATATTTTTTTTTATAAAATTTTTAAAACATCAATGTTGGTATATAATTCGGTTAAAACGTTAATAAACACGCAAATGAAAAATGATATGAACATAACAATGAATTGTCGAGAAATACAAAAAATTAATACATAAATTGTTCAGAAAGTATGAAATGTAAAATGATTACATCAGTAAATAAAAAAAGATATAGCCTACTGCGTATATCTAATCCTAATCGTCTGACCTCTATTGTGTTGGCGTTTTCTCCTGTATCTCGTTGCACTCGATGCCTCCCTAACCATCCTTTCTATGATGACCACTGCCTCAGGATCATCCATCTTAATGATCCCTAAGTCCAAAGCCTCATGCCCAATCAACTATATCCGTTGATAGATCGGTAAGAGATCAGTGGCATGATCATCCTGTACCTGTTGGTTCTCTAAGATCTCATGAGTTGGTCTAGGCAGACGACCAGGAGCATCTGATGTCATGATAGGAGGGTGAGATACTGTGTAGAACCATGTCACGTATTTCTCTATGCAATGTCAACTGCTGGATGCCGACACCTTTCGATAATCCTCTGGTACCATGTGATGCTCTCAATCCTGAAAGATGTCATCGAATTCCCGACAGACGATGGTGTCGGGAGCAGTCTGAAACGAAGTTCTGGGTATGGTCTGTACATAGTCAAACTGTCAGATGCATCACTCTAGAAGATACTTGACGATAATCAATGTTGGTCGTTAACATATTTGTGCGTAAATTATTTAAATGGAAAGTGTAATGAAAAATATACCTCTCCATCCCAAATATGCCGAGCGACATGATCATTGTAATAGATCAAGAGAGAGGTGTTAGAAGGCCCTCCTAGATACTCTGGTGCATCATGGGAAGCATGTGCCTGAACCTCAACCTCCTTGGGTGTCTGAACATCAACCTCTTCAGATTCCTGCTCAACATCCCGAGACGAGGACACATGAGACAGGCGACTCCTCGGAGTAGAAGAGGATGCAACCACCATTTCCTCCTGCGGTACTGTAGCGGTAGAAATATTGGGACTAAGTTATTTGATTGATTTGACTCGCACAAATCAAATAAAAATCGCCACCGCGCTTTATTGTTTCCAAAAGAATGGGAAAAGAGCGAATAACTCAAAAGAGAGGGAGAAAATCTAAGTTCAAAGGTTGGTTATGCAAAGGGAAGGTATTAGGACCCTAAACATCTACGGTACTTCACATGAACCTCTTTGAAAATCTGTGTATTTTGGCTATAAATATTGTATAAAAATATATTGTAGAGATGAGAAAAGAAATATTTTTTTATGATTTTTTCACCCGCCGCGGCTGCGAACCTTTAGTGCCTACGTACCACCTTCCGTGCAATAGAGGATCAGGGTACACGTAGTTAAACTTTAAAAAATTTAAAATGCAAGTGTATTGGTTAATTTTAAGAGATGAGACATCATCGTCTTATCCGAGTGGAAGAACATACTTGCTATCCACGATTATGAGAAAAGAGAATTTGCGTCATCTCAAAGTGGATGATATGGTCTTTGGATTTTAAAATCAACAAAGCCTCGCTCAACACTCAAGTGGAAAATATCTCGTTTCACTACATATCATAGAAGTATAGTAGCTCGCATCACTATAAGGATTGACAAGAGTCTAGTCTTTTGAGAAAAAGTTTTAAAGTACAAAGCCAATGTGGCAAAATAGTTTGAATGAGGTTGATTGACTTTTAGTGTTCTCACAAAAATATGTCAAAGTATTGTTAAATTGTTTAAAGTTTGATTAAGAAAATATTTTGAAAAAATGCATGGACTTAAGTCCAAGTTTATTGTGAAAGCGGTTTAAGTTAGAAACAAGAAGAATTTTCAAAAGTAGGGAGAATATTTTTGAAATTAAAGAAGGTAGGAAGAGATGAAGGGACTATCCTAAAGCATAAGGTAAAAGCTAGGGAAAAGAATCGTCTAACCAACAAGAAGCCAACACTTGACACAATGAGTAAATGTAGAATTCCCATCCTTTGGATTTGAAACTAAATAAGCAAAGATAATAAATATCTTAAGAAAGCCAAGCTTCAATTGCATTAAGTCTTCACAAAAATTGGACAGAGTAACGACTGTATACAGATGAATTTCCGATCACAGACAAAATATGTAATCACAATAACCTGCATACAAAGAAACAAACAACACAATATCTTGGGGTAAACCCCAAGAACTCCAGGAAAAAAAAAGTTGAGGTTACAAGGTCTCAAGGTAGGTCAATGATTCTAATCCAAAGTCCAAGAAGTCCACAATCTCCATAATGCCATGGATAGTAACCATTTAGTCCAAGTAACATTAAAGATTTTATTGTTCAAGTTGACTATTAGGTATCTTCAAAAAGAAAATGAAAAGCTCAAATGAGCAAAGATGAAAATAGCATGAAATGTAAATGCTAAGATAAGTGGTGCTTAAAGTAAAGAGCATAAAATAAAGGCACAAAATAAAGTCAATTGTTAGAAATTAGAGGTTATTTGAATGACCATCTTGAAACTTGCATTTGGAACTCATTAGAGGATTGATAAAACCAAAGCCTCTTAACAACAAGTTTCATTTACTTTTTTTCAAATATATCATTCATTGAAAATTTTCAAGGAAACAATGAATGATCAATGATGTTTAAGTGATTCACTTTGACCAAAGCTTATGAAGATTCATAAGAGGATTGATAAGAACAAATCCTCCTAACAATGAATCTCAAGGTTATTGGATCAAAGGATTCAAATTAACACACTTGGGCTTACAAACATGAGTTTGGGCCACAAATAATCATTTCTCGAATTGGGATAAAATTTAGCGCGATGTTAAGCAATCATAAGTGGCCTTATATATAAGTCGCACTTTTTTGAGGCCGGTAAATAGTAATCTATGTGCCATATATATTGAGAAATGATATGTAAATAATTCTCCAATAACATTTAGCACAAGTAAGAATGAGATAAGATGAAGAGGGAGGAGATGTGTTTAATGAAATTTTGTTTCAAATATCATCAACATCATTAATCCATCTTGATGGATTTAGTTTTTCAACCTATCAACACCCAAGATCCAATGATGTTGAAGAATTTGTCCTAAAATAAATCTCAAGTCAGTATCATATGCCATGCAAAGAATTAAACAAGAATTATGTACAAAAGTTCTCAATTACAAACCTTAATCAAAAGTAAAACCCTAAATACAAACCTAAGTCAAAAAATTAGATTTAAAATAGGAAAAGAACTTGTAAACTTATGAAATTAAAACCCTAACTTCCTAAAGTTCTATAAAAGTCAGAAATAGAGTTCTTGGATTGAGGTGGAAATTTGATTTAGAAATGCAAACTTTGAAAGTAGCTAGCAAAATGCTTAAACTAGAGATGTTTTGGAAAACAATTTGTGAAAAATATAAAATCACATTTTAAAATTCAAGAAAAATGATCTTTATGACCTCAACTTGTTCAAGCACTCTAAACAACTTCATATCTGATTTTATAGGCATGGAAAGTTAGAAATTTCAATCAATTAGTGTGAATGATCAAACAAAATCCTAAAAAAAGAAATTAAGTTCAAAATTAATCAATTTGATCTAAAGTTCAAATAAATTTGGTGTAAGACTCTTTAAATGTCAAGAAAATTCTAAGGATCAGTAAGTATATTTTTCTTAAATTTTATCCCAAAATAAAGAATTAAATAAAAATTATTTACACAATTCATAAAAAAAAACAAAAAAAAGTGATATATCCAAACAAATGATTTAATTTGTAACCCAAGAATTTTATAAAATTGGACAAAAAATATTTTTAAGAAGAAAACTCAGAAGGAAACTTAAAAACGTTTTTAGGGATTTTTTTATTTAGTAGAAATAGAAAAATAAAATGCTAAAATAAAAGAAAGATTAAAACCCTAATTAAACTACTTAAATATATTTAATCAATAAAAATGAGAAAAAAAATATCAAAATATGAAAATATATGAAAAATATAGTGTAAAATATTTTTGTGGTAATTTTTGAATTAAGAAAAGTAATTAAACAAAAATTAGAGAATAAAAGAAAATTAAAATATAATTAAGGTGTATTACACCTGCTTTCAACAGAAAGCGTTGTGGAAGGTTTTTAAAACATGTTCAATAGGGAACAGCCACGTAGTCACCCCTACCAAAATACCAAACCCTTTCTCGTTTTACAGTTTTAAAACCAGGTTTTTAAATCATAATAACTCACACGTTTCTTGATGAAAATCAAAAGTGTAAACATCAAAGTTCAAGATCAAAATGCGCTGAACATGATAGTATAAAAAATTTCATGGAATGATGCCTGAATTATAGAAAAAATGCCACGCGAATATTGCTGCATGAACATGATTATGAGTTGAGCATTTTAACAAACAGATTTTTGACTTTATTTTCTCATTCGATTCTCAACCATTTCCTTTGATTCAAACACCAAAATTCATCACCTCAATGCGTAGAACAACAAAATGCTCATGAATTCAACAACTAATGCAAGGTTTGAAGGTGAATTGAGTGCGAAGGTAGCAAAGCAAACTGAATTTTGAGCAAATTTATGGAACAACATCAAGCAACAAATGCATACATGATTATACTCAGATGTAGGATCT